CAAAGTAGTAAAGGATGGTTTGCCCTTTTTAGAAATGAATGCTATTCAAAGTTCTATCGACGATGATTTAAGAAAGATATCGGTCGAATTAATGTTCAAACCAGATCGTCAAATTATTAACTATCAAGCCTCTGAAAGAAATAATTTGCACGCCAAAAAACACACTTTAAAGCATAAACTTGCTGGAGCTGTAACAATAGCCAGTGCTGCATTACCTGTATTTTGTTTGCCTTTCATAGGAATTCTAGTATTACCTCTATTACCTCTATTACCGTTAATGTACATCGGTTGGAAACAAGGTGCCCAACTTTTAGGTGAGCCAGAAATTCGTGGAAAGCTCAATCAAATTATAAAAGATGCATTAGCTGCTTATGATGAAGGAGATTATCAAAAATTTTTCAATTTGCTTTCTGAAGAATACAAAAAGGATACAAGTCTCATAAAATTAAAAAAGCGTTATGACAATATTAATCTTGAAAGTATAATAGATCCACTTTTAAGTCACGGTTTTAGATCTGATGGCATCGCCTATTTGTTAAATTTGATAGGTGAGGTGTTAAGTAGCGGCAAAATAAAAATTCCGGGCATAGATAGAACACAAAATGATTTACATGAGATGGGGAAACATGTTTTTGAAGGTGTGCTAAGCGAAAAACTTCTGAAAGAAGCTAGAATATTGGATGATCGCATTCATGCATTACGAAAAGATGATCTTAAAAGCAAGGCTAAAAGTGCTATCCAGAATGCCATAGACAGTTTATTTATTAACTCGTATAGTGAATTAGCAAAAGAATATATAGATAAAGAAGACAAAGACGACGCCCAAAAAATGCCCTTTCAATCAAGATTAGAGGAAATGCGCAATATTGCAAGACTTAATCTCGCAATTTTTGATATATTGAATACTGACAAGGAAGCATTTACGAAAGTAAGCAACACTATTAAAGAAATTAGAGAATCAATAAGCAATAATTATCAATTTTCTGGTTCAACCGAATCACGCCTCGAAGTTTTAGAAGATTTTTTGTGGATTATGAGCGGTGAAGTGCCTAGAACTCCTTCAGTTTATTTTATAAAATCGGCTGAAGAACGATCAACCGAAAAACGTGATAAAAAATACATTGAATATTTAAAAGAAAAATTACAAATGGTATTCGACGATAACGAAAGAATCGGTCTTCATACTAAATTGGCAGACTGCCTTGTGAAATTGGCCGAAGAAGAATGTAAAGTCTACTTGTTAAACAGCTTAAGTTACTGGCAAGATGCTCAAGAGCATTATGAAAAAGCACGTGAAATAGACCCCAAGAATCAATATGCAACACTTGGTGTTGCAAAATGCCTATTAAATTTAACACAATATAATCGGCTTATAAAATTTCTTGATACAAGCCCAGATTTAACTTCATCGGCCGAGTATTGGAGATTCTGTAGTATCGCTTATTGTAAACAAACAGAATACGACAAAGCTACGGAATTTATTCTTGAAGCATTGAAACTAGATCCTCAAAGCATCTTAGCTATGAAACAGAAGGAACACCTTGATAGACTAAGAGTAAACCGTAATGATCGTATTAATCATTATAATAAAAAAATATTTGACCTAGATAACTTAATTAAAAATTCACATCATGGTAATGATGAATCAATTTACAGAATTCTCTCGATTGACGGTGGTGGTGTGCGCGGCATATTACCAGCCTTATGGCTCAGTGAACTAGAATATCGAGCACGCAGGCCCATTTCTCAACTATTTAATATGATAGCTGGAACCTCTACAGGTGGAATTATTGGTGCAGGGCTTTCAATGCCGCGTCAGGATTTAAGCTTAAAGTCACCTCTATTGGCTACAGATTTATTGGAATTATATCAAAATCAAGCAAAATCCATGTTTACTGGTGCATCATGGAATATCTTTGCAGCAACAAAATATACGGATGAAGGACGTTCTTTAATATTTAACAAATATTTTGGAAAAATCTGTTTAAATGAATCACTCACTGAGTTGGTTATTCCTGCAGTAAACAAAGACAACATGCAATTACACTTGTTTACACGCCATAACTCAGTTAATGATAAGTCAAATGATGCACTTTTTGATATTCTAATGGCTACAACTGCTGCACCCACTTTTTTCTCTCCTTACAAAATGAGAAATAAGGGCATTTTCGTAGATGGAGGTGTACAACTTAATAATCCTGCACTTACGGCTTACAATGAGGCCTTTAAATATAATAAAAATGTTACAGTGCTTTCTTTGGGTACAGGTAGTTATATACCTAATCCTTTGAATCCTGATTTATATTATGACCGACTTTTTTGGACGAAAAATCTATGCAATGTTACACAAGAATATAATGTTGATCGTACGATGTACACTATGCTGGGAGATTGTTATCAACGATGGCAAGTTTTGTTAGACAAACCCGTAGCATTTGATGATTACAATAATATTTCTCATCTCTTAGAATTAGGACACCAATATATTGAAGAACTCGATGCTTCAGATGAAAATCCTCTAAATGCATTAGTAGAATCTTTCTTTTGAAAGTTGTTAGTTTATCTAAAGTAATATTTCATCTTTTTTGTTAACACTAGCGTATCTTGTATTTCTTATCATTATACACTTGAATAAACTTCATTT